CCCACCAGCCCTGGGCATCCCTCACATGACCACCGACCACAGAGTGGCAGTACAGTCACGTCTCCATTTCCCTCTAGACTGTGACCTCAATGAGGACAGGGACACAGTCTCTCTCAGTGCAATAGCCCCTGCACATAGTGGGGCTCAGGAACTTTGTTAGATGGTTGAGGGATGACATGGTGGAGACCTTCCAAAGACCTGAGGAGAGGACAGAGCCCCCTGTAGATGCATCTTCTCTCCCATCCACTCAGGTGGCCACTAACACAGACACCAGCCGCAATGCAGGCAACGCGGTCCTGTTTGAGACAGTGCTCACCATCATGGACATCCGCTCTGCAGCTGGCCTGCGGGTATCATCCCATATGCCTCTCCCCTGTGGCCCCACCCACCAGCCCCAGCCAGGCAGACAGGTCCTGTGCCCTGGTTTCTCCTCCCCACCCCTGTCATCCTGTACCATGCAGTGCCCACTCCTAAAAGAGCAGGTTGCTCCTTCCCTGACTGTCCCCAACCTCCGCCTCCCGTAGGTTCTAGCTGTCAACATTCTTGGCCGCTTTCTGCTCAACAGTGACAAGAATATTAGGTAATAGTCCCAGGTGGTTGGCTGGGCTGTGCCACTGAGCCCCTGGCTCCCTGCCCTCCTCCTTCCAGTCTCCCAATACACCTGCCTCTTATCCCAACACCCAGGGCAGGGTGGGGCGGGAAGGGGGCTGATGGCCATGTCACAATGGGTCCTCTCCCACTCTGGCCAGGTACGTGGCCCTGACGTCGTTGCTGCGGCTGGTGCAGTCTGATCACAGTGCTGTGCAGCGGCACCGGCCCACCGTGGTGGAGTGTCTGCGGGAACCTGACGCCTCCCTCAGCCGGTGAGCAGGACAGAGGAATGAGAGGGCAGGGCAGAGGGCCTGGCACCTGGGGCCAAGAGCCGGGCCAGCCCAGAGCAGCTGGAGTAAGGGACTGAGGAGATAGGGACCTGGGGAAGGGGAGGGCCTGAGGCACGTTGGGGGGTGACACATGTCTCTGTCCTGCCAGGCGGGCCCTGGAGCTGAGCCTGGCTCTGGTGAACAGCTCCAACGTGCGAGCCATGATGCAAGAGCTGCAGGGCTTTCTGCAGTCCTGCCCCGCTGATCTGCGGGCCGACTGTGCCTCAGGCATCCTGCTGGCTGCAGAGAGGTGAGGTGACAGGTGCCCAGGAGACAGGGTGGAATCTGGGAAGGGTTGGCACCAGGACTCATGAGCCACGTCCCCTAGGTTTGCCCCATCCATGCGGTGGCACATAGACACCATCCTGCGCGTGCTGACAACGGTGAGGCAGGGGCTGGTCTGAGAGCCGGGCGGGCGTGGGCGGGGTTCACCACACCGACGTGGCCACGGTCACCCCCTCCAGGCGGGCGCCCACGTGCGGGACGACGCCGTGGCCAACCTGACCCAGCTGATTGGGGGGGCCCAGGAGCTACACGCCTACTCTGTGCGCCGCCTCTACTGTGCCCTGGCAGAGGACATCTCCCAGGTACCGCTCCCACCACCCAGGCCCAGGGTGCCGCACCCTCCCAGCCCTACTGGGCCACCTGCTCCCTACACCTGGTTCCCAACTGTTTTTCCCTCAGGGTCACAGCTATCTCCTTAGTGGCAGGACACTCAAGGACAGACTTAGATTTTAGTTAGAACACCTGGGCTTCTGTCCTGGCTCTGGTTCCCATTTAACTTTCTTTATGCTCAGTGCACTCAGTTTTCTACCCTGCCTACCTCCCAGAGCTGTCTTGAGGATCAAATCTGCCATGTATGAGGTTTTATTATTACCTGACTGCTGAATGAATTAACAGATGCCAGCCAGTATCTATAGCCCCCTCTCCATACTACCTCAGTGGGGTAGGCAGAAACCACCACCCCTTCCTCAAGGGAGACACCTTCTCACTTCTCTGTCCTCACTGCACCCCTTGTGGTCAGGCCATGTCATTCTGGTGCCTGGCCACCAGAGGGCAGAGGAAGCCCAGCAGCCAGCACAGAACCCAGGAACAAACTCGAACATAACTGCTCCCGTGCGAAGGCCCCTCCCTTTCCCCATCCCTGCAAACCCCACCATCTCTGCACCGCCGAAAGGGATGTCACAGGGCCTGGAAGTGAGGCAGGGACCCTGACCCTGGCCCAGCTTGTTTCTCATCCTGAGCAGCAACCGCTGGTGCAAGTGGCAGCCTGGTGCATTGGGGAATACGGGGACCTCCTGCTGGAGGGGAGCTGTGAGGAAATCGAGCCCCTTCAGGTGAGACCTGCTATGGGGGGACACTGAGGAGGGTCTTGGCAGGGGAGGCAAGGCTGGCCCCAGGGTCACTACCTGTGTCCCCCGTGAAGGTGGAGGAAGAGGAGGTGTTGGCACTGCTGGAAAGGGTGCTGCAGTCCCATATGTCCCTGCCGGCCACCCGAGGGTATGCCCTCACGGCCCTGATGAAGCTCAGCACCCGGCTCCGTGGGGATAACAAGTAAGAAGGGGTCCCAGCCCCTCCCAGACACCCCCTTCTTGGTGCCTCCAGTGAGAGATGTCCTTCGCTGTGCCCACCACTTTCTGAGTTTCTCTCCAGGCACACACCCCAATCCCCCCAAGTATTGTGGGTCTCCCCCTGCTCTGTGGGGCCTCTCCCCTCCCCACCACCTCCTGGAGTTGAAGGGCAGGGCAGGCTGCCATTCCCCTCACGCAGCGCCCTGTGGCCCAGCCGCATCCGCCAGGTGGTGTCCATCTACGGGAGCTGCCTGGACGTGGAGCTGCAGCAGCGGGCTGTGGAGTATGACGTGCTCTTCCGGAAGTACGACCACATGAGGTGCGATGGGCGCTCTGCCGCAGTGCAAGACCCACAGCCCTGCCCTCTCCCCAGACGTCCTCTCCCCAGTGCCCCTTCCTGGGGACAAGAGTCTCACCCTCACCTGTGTCCTTCCTCACCCACAGTCAGAGCCTCCCACCCACAGTTCACTGAAGCTGAGCTGGCTTCCAGCCCTCCTTGCTCATCTGAAAAGCAGCAACAGCATGCCATCTTAGGAAATCAGAGGGGCGCTTCCGACCTGCCATGTGCCCAGGGCTCTCCGTGTTCCTAACCCTCCTCCCCCATGCCTCCTATGAAAAGCCCAGGTCCACCCAGAAGGACACACCTGCATTCCATCCTCTCAGGGCTGCCATCCTGGAAAAGATGCCTCTTGTGGAACGAGGTGGCCCTCAGGTTGATGAGGAAGCAAAGGAAAGCAAAGAAGAAACTCGGCTTTTGGAAGCAGCCCCAGTCCCCACAGAGCCCCAGGTGAGGAGAACGGAAGCCCTGGGGGAAAGAGGACTTGGTCGGGCTTCCATACCCAGCCCTGACTCTGCTGCCCTCTCCTCCAGGCCTCAAAGCTCTTGGATCTGTTAGATCTCCTGGACGGCCCTTCTGGGGATGCCCAGCATCCACGCCCTCTGGATCCCTCCCCAGGAGGTCCTCTAGTACAGCTCCTCGACCTTCCCGGTGCTTCTCCCCCCCCGGGTAAACCTCAGCAAAGGGAGATGGGAGGTATCTTATTAGAGAAGGCAGGGTGGAAATGTGCTGTTTCTCCTTCTTACCCAGGACTGAGGGCCATGTACCCTCTTCCCTGCTGTGTGCCCCCCATCACATCCCTATCTTGGTAGGCAAAAGCGTTCATTAGCTCGTGCCAGTGCCCTCCTGGACACCCCTCAATGTCGTCCCTTTGTTCCAGACTTCTTACCCTGGCCTGTGGGGCCCTGCTAACTCCCAAGCCCATCTCATACACTTTCCCACTACCCACCCCACCGGCCCCCTCTCGGCCCCAAGCCCTTGACAGTTCATGTTCCTTTTACATGGAATGTTGTCTCCCCAGCACATCAAATGATGTGGCTCATTCTCACTCCTCAGGCCTCAGCTAAAATGTCAGGTGCCCGCCCACCACTCCTATTTCAGTTCTCTCCTCCCAGTTCTCCTGCGTAGTTGATTAACTTCATGGCACCAATTAGTCAATGATTATCTTGTTGTCTTGTTTATTGTTTCTCTCCCCCACTGGACTGTAAGCTCCAACAGGGACCTCGCCTTGTCCACTTTGTCACTAGCATCTCAGGCCGAGCCCTGTGCCCAGTGGGGGCTCACTCTCTGTTGAACGAATGGATGAACTCGTTATCTTCAGCCCCTACGCTGAGCTCCTTCTCTCTCCCTACTCAGCTCCCATCCCAGATCTCAAAGTGTTTGAGCGTGAGGGACTACAGCTGAACCTTTCTTTCGTTCGACCCCCTGGAACCCCTATTCTGCTCTTAATCACTGTCACTGCTACCAACACCTCAGGGGATGACGTCACCCACTTCATCTGCCAAGCCGCTGTGCCCAAGGTTTGTAAAGGATTCAGAGGTGGCCTGGGCATTCCAGGAGAAAAGGCTGCTGAGTAGAGGAGGTGGGGGGGAGAATGAGGTGAGAAGGAGTGACGTGCAGGGACAAGCACTCGGGGCGTTATGGAAGAAGGTCTGGAACTCCTGGGTGTGGAGGGTTGGCTGCCTCCCTGTGCTCCCCCAACCTCCTGTGTTCAGAGTTTCCAGCTGCAGCTACAGGCCCCCAGTGGGGACACAGTTCCAGCTCAGGGTGGCCTTCCGGTGACCCAGCTCCTCAGAATCCTCAATCCTAACAAGGTGAGCTCCAGAAGCCCCCGTGGATGAGACCCACGGATGGGAGAAGTCACGGGTGCTAAGTCTGGTCTCCACTCTCCTCTTCCTAGGCCCCCCTGCGGCTAAAGCTTCGCCTCACCTACAACCACTTTGGCCAATCGGTGCAGGAGATCTTCGAGGTGAACAACTTGCCTGTGGAGACGTGGCAGTAACAGCCTCCACTCACAGCCTGAAATCTGTGTCCCAAACCCCGGGGCCCCCAGCCACTTGGAGCCTACACCTGCGGGCTGCCAGCAGATGGCGCTCTGGTCCTGTGCTCACCACTGCAAAAACTGTGGGGGCCTGCCCCCCTCCCCCACCAGTAATGAAAGCCCAATAAAGCCTGAGGGGGGAAAGCCACATTTGAGTATATTTGAGGTAGAAAACGTATACGAATAACAGCAAGGCAAGAGCCTTCTTACACAGGAAGTATGTCTCTTCCCTTGTGCCTTAGAAGCCTGTTTCAACAAAGGAGGGTTTTCTTTCTACCCCTCTCCAGGTTAGGGAGCAAATTTGCCCCTAAACTTCCACAGGAGGCACTCTACCCTTTGGGCCACAGCAGGGCACAGTGGCAAAATCAAACCAGAATTTCCAGATTTCTAACAGGGATTCCCACCCATTTTCCCAACCTGCTGCTGTTCCCCACCCACCAAGGCGGGAAATCCCTGCTGCCTTCCCTCATCTCTAACTCAGCTGTAAGGCGGTTTAGGAGCCGCTGGCAGAATCAATGGCATCGACCAAGGGGGGAGGAGGTGGCAAGGGATTTTCCTGTGCTTAACTACTGATCACGGCTAAGTGGAAATCCTATAAACACGAGCGGAAATCAATGGAGACTGCTTAGCGGCCAGGGGAGAGGGGTGGCCCACAGATTGCATCTGACGGATGAGGGAGAGGAGGCAGCCGGGGAGGGCTCGAGGAAGGAGAGCCGAGGGTAGGGTGAAGAACAGGCAGAGCTGGAGAGAGGAGTCACTGTGGGAAGGGAAGCGGGGGAAGAGGCACAGCCCAGGAGTGAACCTGTTGGGCCCAGAGCTCTCTTCCCCTTCCCCGTGGAGGCAGTGACACCCTAGCCCAGGCTACTGTCAGGATCTTCAGTCCCCTGTGGCTTCTCTCTGAAGCTATTCGCTTTGAGCAGGCGCTGATAGTCCTGAGGCCGGAAGCGCTGTAGGTACACTATCAGCTTTGCAGGTGCCGACTCCTGTGCTGGCACACCTGCAGGCAAGAGGAGAATGAGAAGCAGTCAGAACTGCAATGCTGTGACTCTGCTCCCTGCCTACCCAGCCAGGACCCCAAAGTGGTTTCCAAGGCAGCACTGAGATCCTGAACGGCATCCACCCAGCTTCTGTAACCCACCTGGCCACTCCCTTCCTGGGCTGTGGAAGTGGGGCCTAAAAGGGCCATTTCAGGCAAGAGTGCAGCTGGGAAGCCAAGCATGAGCCTCTCCTCCAGCAAGGAGAAATGGTGAAGAGGCACTCAGGCACCATGAAGACAGAGGGTGCCTCAATATCAACTCATTTCAGTTATTGCTTCTGCCCACAATCAAGATTAAAGTCCATCTAGGCAGGCCAGAGCTCATTAGTTTGGTAATGAAGCACGTGCAGAGATGCACACAGAGAGAGAAACCTAGGGATGGAGAAAGAGGAGAGAAGCAGCTACAGCCATGGGGTGAGATTCACACAGAATTCCAGCCTCTCTGTGGCATGGAGCCACGACAAGCCAGTGTCTTATTGTTTGTGCCTGGCAGCACGCTGAGCATATAGCTGGGAACTCAGTGTACGTTTGCTGAGGAGGCGAGAGCAGCATTCCAGGGCTGCAAGGACCCAGGGGATGCACAACCCCATACCTGTGTGGATGAACTGTCTGCAAGGGAGCTAAGCCTGGAAACAGAAAAATCTGCCAACGTTTGCCCCACTGTGTCACATAAATACAATGTTCTTGCCTTCTACTCAAAGCTACCAGGACAAATTAAATGAGGATCTAGGTAGTTGTAAAAATGAGAGGATACGAGTTGGGGGAAAGCAGGATGGATTGAAGGACTGAAGCAGAGAACTGACAAATGGAACTGAAGGGAACTTGGAGTGGATAGAGGTATGCAACTAAGTGAGACAGAATGACTGGGATAGAGACACATGGAAGGATTAAATCCAGGTTAGACAGCTACTGTAAAAGAGGGAACCAGATTTGACAGAGCCCTAAGCAAACTAGGTCCTCTAGAAAACTGCTAATGACTCCAGTTACAGAAATAAACCTGAGACCCTCCCCCACTAATTGACCCAGTAGGTCCATCCAGAAGAGGAAGGTGGAAAGCAGGGACAGCACAGAAGGTCCTGGCTCCCTCACCAAGCATGCTGCTGAGGCTGTGGATCTTCTCTAGGGCAGCTGTGACTTCAGCTTCCTCGTGCACCAGGGCCTCTACCTCACCCACAGCGTAGCCAAAGTCGGCTGTATCCAGGTCCACCCGGAGCGGCGGCTCTTCTTCATCAGCTCCGGATAGCACCAGCTTCCAGGCACTACGCTTAGTCACAAAACTGGCTACTTCCTGCAGCCCCAGTGGGCCCAGCACAGCAGCCACACCTCCAGCCCCCAGGACCTCTTTCCCCAGCACCTCAGAGAGCTGGGCCACAATTGCAGGCTCAGCCGTGAGTTCCACATACTTAGTGTGGGGTCCTGAGACATCTGCTGCTCCAGGACACTTGAGCTCCCATCCACTACCCTCTCGTTGTCGCAGCCAGTGGTCAGCCTGCATGAGGCTCAGTTCCCGGGTGTCATAGTAGCTGTCTCGGAAGGTGACCCGGTGCTCCAGGGTGCCCCCCAACTCCTGCAGCCGCTCCTCTGTGCCAGGCCCGGGAACGAACTTTCGCTCTACCTCAATCACGCCCTGGGCCATGCTACCTGCAATCAGTCAATTAACAAACATTTGCTGAGCTCCCAAGGGTGTTCAGCCTTGCAGGGCGACAGCTCAGCAGAGACCCCCCTGGAAGAACTTACGAGGCACACACATTGTCACAGAGCTCTCTGTTGGGGCTACAGCCCTTTCTCCCTGCCTCGTTGATGGATGGCCCCGTCTGTGATGTTTGAAGGCTCTGCTACAGTGACAGGTCTCCAATTAAATCCCTTCCACTGCTGACAATGTCCTCAATCCAAAGGGCTCCTTATCAAGCAGGCCGTGGAGCGGGTGTCCTCCTTTCAATGCTCCTCCTCCACACCTTGCTACCCCGGAGGAGGCCGGTGGCTCACTACCCGGGGTGACCCCGCCCTTCCCCGCCACAGCACGGGCCAGTGGAGCCTCGGGTCTCACCTCAAAGCCCGAGGGTCTCCCTCTCGCGGGACCTGGAGAATGGGGGAAGGGAGCCCACGCCCCGCCCGCGAGGAATGCCGGGAGCAGTCGTTGGCCCCAACCTCGGCCCGGCTACCTGCGCACCCGGCCGGTCCCAGCACGAGCCGCCATATTAGGCCCGATGTGGCGGTGCCCAGGACAGGCCGAGACCCAGGAGGCCTGCTAGGCTATAGGAGCCGCGACCTCCGCGGTAGGCCGGGAGCGAGGTCGTCTCCCTACGCTCTTCTTCTCAACTCGACCGCTCCCGACTCCCGGGGGTCGGCCCGGGTCTCAGGCCTCAGGTTGAGCCCGGCACCCTGGGGCCCGGGTGCATGATGGGAGATGTAGTTCCAAAGGGAGAATTTGCTTTCTCTCCCCACTTGTCGCTATGGTGACAGGAAAGCTGCGATTAGTTCCTGAGGGACTCTACCTAAAGTTGAGGGGGGCAGCGGGGACAGTCGGGTGGAAGAAGCTAAGGCCCATCTCTATCTCCAGCCCCCTCATTCCGTAGGCAGGTGGGCCTGGAATATAAGCCACTCACTCAGACACTGTCCAGCAGGTATTTATTGACTACTGTGGTGGCCCACTAAGGGCAGGCCAGTGGCAATGGGCTGAAAAACAGGATAACTTAAGACGAGTTTAGCTACTCTGGAGTTTTAGCCGGGATAATACATTCTGGCATAAATGTCCAGGATAAGGGTGGGTGGGAAACTTTTTGTCGGAGTTCGAGGAAGTGATATTTTGGATGGAACTAAGGACATGATAGGATTTCAGCAGCTGGAAACCCAGATGGAGGCAAACAGCATGAGCAAAAGCCCAGAAGCTAGAGAGCACCTGGCCAGTGTGTAAGCAGAAGGAGATGAAGCTAGAAATACAGTTGAGGAGCAGGTTGGAAAAGGCCTTGAGTGCCAGACGGAGGAATTTGTTACTGAGTTTCCAGTGGCCCCTGAGCAGGCTTCGTCTGCAGTAGGAGAAATACTCGTGTTCATTTAGAATACAGGAAGACATGGGGGTGGCCGTTTGACTGCTCTGGGAGACAAAATAGAGAAGGCTGCTTCTCCTTACTCCCTCTGAGGACTGCGGTTATCTGGAGACGTCAACAGTATGTCTGACCCTCCGGATGAGGTAGCTTGCTGAGGAGAAATGACTCATGTCAACTCCTGGGTCCCCTTCTATGATGGGTGAGAAGGGCCAGGTTCTCAACACCAGTCCTCTCCCCAGTATGTTTCTGGAAACACGTGACCCCGGGGAAGTACGGTGGGAGGACACTGGCTTACAGACAAGGCATCTTGAACTTGGGATGTCTTGGATGCATCCCTCCCCCCAACCCCCTGACGAATAGGCACAGAGTGGACGGCACCCCGCCCCCTAACTCCTCTGGTCTGCTTTTCATCCATCCTTTGCTTTTCAGCTTTGTTCCCTGGGGGAAGAAGACTAATCTCTTCCCTGAGTTATTGGGTCCAACCCAGTGGGGCAGAGGCAGCAGCTTGACAGAAAGGAAAGATCAGACTGGGTTGACAGACAGATCTGAGTTGACTCCCAGCTTCACTTTCTAGGTGTTTGGCTTTGGGCAGGCTGCTCTGCCTCCCTAAGCCTGTTTTCTCATTGGTAATATGTGGGCTGCTTCACACAGGTATGTGTGAGGATTCACTGACAAACTGTCACATGATAGAAATTCAAAATGTTAGTTTCTTTCCCTTTCCCGAGTACTCCAGAGTTTTGTTTTGTTTTGTTTGGTAGGCTATAGCAGCTAGTGTGGGCTCTGGAGGCAGACCATTGAGGTTTGAATCCTGGCACTGTCACTTGTTGGCTGTGTGTCCTTGCGTCAGTTAATTAACTCGTTTGTGCCCTGGTTTCCGCAACTGTAAACTGGGACTACTTGTGAGGATGAAATAATATATATAAAAGTGCTTGAAACTGTCCCTGTGCACTCAATAAAATTTTTTTTTTTTTGTGATGAAGATCAGCCCTGTGCTAACATCTGCCAATCCTCCTCTTTTTTCGCTGAGGAAGACTGGTCCCGGGCTAACCTCTGTGCCCATCTTCCTCCACTTTATATGGGATGCTGCCACAGCACGGCTTGCCAAGCGGTGCATCAGTGTGCGCCTGGGATCCGAGCTGGTGAACCCCGGGCCGCTGCAGTGGAGCGCGCGCACTTAACCGCTTGTGCCACCGGGCCAGCCCCATCAATAAATCTTAGCAATGGGCCGGCCCCGTGGCTTGGTGGTTAAGTGAGCGCGCTCCACTGCTGGCGACCCAGGTTCGGATCCCGGGCTCGCACGGACGCGCTGCTTCTCCGGCCATGCTGAGGCCGCGTCCCACATACAGCAACTAGAAGGATGTGCAGCTATGACATACAACTATCTACTGGGGCTTTGGGGAGAAAA